GCAATGACTAATGTGAAGATTATGTAGACTTCAAAGTTTCTTCATAGAATATGAAACCTTTGACGACTGTGAACGTCATGAAAATAAAGAATACGAAGTCCTACAGTCCATAGTCGGTCACATGGAAGTGTGAAGCCTGAGAATAAAAACTGTAAAGACCACAAAACTTCTAAAGAAACACCCTCGATTATGGAATCGAAAATTTGCAAGATGGAGGTCCCGAATTTCGTAAGAAATGTGCTCGGAGCTTATCCTCGCGAAGCGTACGAGGTAGCCCGGAATATAAAATTACGAGTCGAGTAATCCGATCCTGTACACGTAAGCCGAGCAGATAATTCGAGTTAAGTGGCTCTCTCGGCTCTAAGTCGTCCCGGTGCACGGATTTTACCTTCGTCACAGTTGGCCGGGGTAGTAAAAGGTAAAAATCCGCGCAGAGGCGGCGTGCGTGTCCGAGTGCCCACGCGTGTTGAGGTCCGTTCGCTCTTTCTCCACTTCGACCTCAGTCGTTATTTTTTCCCTTACTCCTACAGAACGCTGCGTGTCGTAACCGACTATAAACATTGGCACCTGCGGGCCTGTCACCTTTTCTTCTAGCCGACTGCTTTCCTTTGCAGCCGTAAACTCGCCGGACGAAACGCCCGGAGGATTTTCCCGAGAATTCCAATAACCGAGGAAATCGAACTCGTGGGAACGATCGTTATCTTGTGGAAAGGATCCGGAAAAGATTTACGGGGTTCAAGGGAAATTCTGAGTTCGATATTTGAAATTTAAAGCAACCTTGAAATAGTGAGCTGCAATTATTGAAAAGATTAAGAGACTTTATGTTATTACTACTAAAATATTTCAACTTTATACTCGATGCATATGAACGACTAACGGAGTTGTAAATTTTTATGGTGTTTGGGCCATAAAAGTGTACTGCAATCGAGCTAATTTCACAGCGACAGGTTTTAAAACCTCGGAAGCCTAATAAATTTTTGACGCCTTAGTGACTTGAAAAATGTTAATGATTTATCATTTACTGAGGTAATAAAGGTGTACATAATCTAATCCTTCCTGCCTTTGATAAGTTGCCTCTCGAGAACTTTTTAGATTTTGTCGAGTATTTTAAAGTAATGCTTGATATTTCTAACATCTATCATTTCTTAATGATTTATCATTTACGAAGGTAATAAAGGTGTACGTAATCTAATCCTTCCTGCCTTTGATAAGTTGCCTCTCGAGAACTTTTTAGATTTTGTCGAGTATTTTAAAGTAATGCTTGATATTTCTACCGCTCTTTATCGTCGAACTGTCGAGATAATTCTTCCAGGACGATGCAACGTTGTAAAATCTCGTCCGATTTCGTAGAATGGATACAAGAAGAATGTAGTCTTGTCATCGAGTTACTGACGTACGGTACTTTGGAGTCTTCGACTTCTTTTCTTCACCCTGCTCGCGTGCACGTGTCCACCTGAACGTTAATTATGCGAAGACGCTCTCGTTCCGAATCGTCTTAATAAACCTCGCCGATGGAATCCGCAAATTGCCAGGAAGGCGTTTTGCAACCAGTTATAGCGCTATTCAATGACGCAACGTAGCAGCATTCCAACGTCCACGTTTCTGTATGCAAAGTATACTAAATCTTTCCAGGAAGGAGAAAAGCGTACGTAGCACGTATCCCATTTCGCCGTCCAAAATGCCACGGGAATATACGACGATCGTTCCCCGCGACAGAATGTAAATTTCAGTTGCGTTTTGTTTAAAGCCCGGTCGATCGTAACGTTCGAAAAGTATCTGGGAATTCGGGCGTGTATGGTTATGCTTAATATTCGCGCCCACGCGAATTTCACGAAATTCTGCGTGTTTACTTTCTTCGAGGTTCATTAGAATTCAAGTTTTAAATGCTTTTTGTTTGACTTCACAGATATGTGGATCTGAAGATGGTTAGGTCTTTAAGACTTTGGTTGGTTATTGAGGTCTTTCTGTATCTTTGAATCTCTTTATTTCTTGATCCTGTATTTTTTATTATAAGATTGACTATAAGGTTTGACTATAAGACTATAAGATTGACAATAAGATTGGACTATAAGACTATAAGAACTGGCTATAAGATTTGACTATAAGAATATAAGCTTGACTATAAGCTTGACTATAAGCTTGACTATAAGACTATAACATTGGCTATAAGATTTGACTATAAGACTATAAGCTTGACTATAAGACTATAACATTGGACTATAAGACTATAAGCTTGACTATAAGCTTGACTATAAGACTATAACATTGGCTATAAGATTTGACTATAAGACTACAAGCTTGACTATAAGATTTGACTATAAGACTATAACATTGACTATAAGATTTGACTATAAGACTATAACATTGACTATAAGATCTGCATTCTCGTATATCTCTAAAATCTTATTTTATCAGCATCTGAAATCCTACTCCTACATATGCTTGTAGCAACGTGAAGATTGCAAAACTACACCGAGCAACGACTGAATCCTCCATAATGTTCAAAGTACTTAACGCTGTAGAACACTAAACTATTATGCAGCTGTGCTATCCGTTCGAATTTCAGGAATTGACTTGTACATTCCCTGCGTGATTTAGAAGAAACCTGAAGCTGCACCACGGGACACCCGGTATATTTACATAGGACTTTGCCACGGTGCGAAACGAGCGTCTGCTGAAAGCGGTGGACGAGCACCTGTACGACTACGGTAACCTGTCAAGCTGGAAGGGCAAGAAAGGGCCACCTAACAAAAGCTCTTTTGCCATCCGATTTCTCTTTACCTGCCCGTTCGTGCATCTTCGGTACCTGCGGTAAACATTCATCGATTTGGCGAATAACTTATTTTAAAGCGTCTACCTGTCGAACCAGAAGGTTTCAAACGTGGGTAAACATCGACGCTCGTGAGAAATTATCAAATAGGGCCGTATCTTTTAGATACGTTATCTACTGGTCGCAGGAGCAGCCGGAATCTTCTTCGGACGGAAGTTGTCTTTTTCGTGCTCGTTCTAGCTTGTATCGAAATCGATATCTTCCGCAAAAATTTATTCCTATAATTCCGTAGGTCCATTCGCAAAATCTTGGTGAGATTATGAGAAGCCTACACGTGCTTTCAACTGAGAACCAATATTACCCCCGACACGTACAATTTCAAAGCTATCGTAATTCGGAGGAATGTAGAATTAAAATCCCTCGAGTTAGCATAAAGCACGTATAAGTAACAGATTACAAGAGGAGATTTAACGAAGGGATAAAGATTCGAACGCGCCTGTATCCCTTTCCGGTCGGCGAACGTAGTCTTTAGGACCGAAACGGCACCGACCAGGCCGAAGGCTGGCTCGAAAAATCAGATGGAGGAAACGGCAAGTTAAAATAAGCCTGGCTCGTCGTCTCTCTCTCTTGTACGGACAGACAACAGAGACGGAAGGACTGTCGTGTTCGTAAGACACCGCCGAAAATACACTGATGCCTAATAGAAGGCGGGCCTGGCGCGTACCAAGAGTTTATACGCGAGACTCGCCCAAACAAGCTGCAAGCGGATGAAAAAAGGAAACCGATATCGCTCGTGGGTGTAAATTATAGCCGTAAGCGGGGAAAATATAGACGCGCTTTCTATTTTAATTACTTTGGCTTCAAGGAGAAGTCAGCTTTTCTGGAGACGATATTTTATCATACATTTATACAATTTTTTTTAATTTTACCTGTTACTCTTTGTTATAAAGGGGTGGTTAAGGGAGGTGGTTACAAGGGGTGGTTATAAAGAGTCTTTAAGGTGGTCCACCATTACAAGGTAGACAACTTTTAAACTTCTTGAAGTTGCTTGAAGATCTTGCAGTTGAAATTCGTCTACAAATGCATGTAAACATATTACACAGTAAATGCATTACTTTTAAACGTGAAAGCGTTTCTAAGATAGTAACTCGTTTCTAAGAAATTGTTCAAGGTGTGCAAGTATCGTATACTCTGTACGCAATAAGTACTATAATTCGTTTTTTCCATCTACACTGATATCTATTTATCTAGACTGTTATTTGTATCTGTATTGACTTAACATCTCTGCGACACCTAGGTAGAATAAATCACGCTAGAGTCCACACATTGGACTCTCAATGGAGTACAAAGTCCCATTGACCAGAAAGAAGTATTCGTAAACGATGTTCGCTAAATTAGACGGGCAGTTTGAGCAGCGGTATCTTTTTCGAACAGCTGTGCAACCAAGCTGCACTAGCGATATGCTCCGGTGTCTATGGTGAGTGGGCTCGCTCAATTGATCGAAATTGGCTAATTCGTCGAGGCTGAAACTATCCTCCTCCAAACGGGGCTAATTATCCGGGGTATCGACCGACGGTCTTCTGATCCTCGTCCGTTACGATAAATTACGTTCATTCAAGATACGCCAAGAATGGAAGTCTGGGATAAAGGTATGGGATGTCAGGTATCCTGACGAGGAGACTGTGTACACTTTCAAAACTGTTATTGGTGAAGCTTGTATCGAGCAAAACGCGATTCGAAATCGGTTGACGAGCGGGACTCGAGGAATCCCTGGCTTACGGTGTTCGTTTTACGTGCGGTGAGACATAGGAATCGGCTGCCGGTGTCTCACGTGTCTCCTCGTCTCTCTACGGAACTGTGGGAGCTCCCTTTAGCATATAAAGGAGTCAGTCGCGTCCGTGCGTTGGTCGTCATGGCGAAACTAGTTCGACCGTCCAGTTTTTCCACTCCCGTACACGCTTCGCTCGTGTTCGCCACGGTGGTGGGAGACGACATCTCGAGCAGTCTCGTTCCTTACAGCGACACGCTAATAATCCTGCAACTTGTTGCTGCACGGCCGTAAGCATCGCTAGGCCGTTTACGCGAGTTTTCTTTCATAACTCTGCCGCATCTCGAGTTATCGAGCGAGGTCCATCGCGTGTCGTTTGAATTTCGAATTTTCGCGCGCTCCGGAACGCATCGGAGTTTGAACGAGAGATCAACCGAGAAAGATACGCGGCCCGAGACTCACCGAGATCCTCGACCAGTCGTAGCATGACACCGCCGATGTGCAATTCTCCTTTTACTCGCAAGCTCCTCTCTACCTGAAGATCCGTCACGTAGACACGCAACACCCAACTACCGTCCACCTCGTGACCGTCCGAATACATGTTTGCCGATCGAGCGTTGAAAAGCAACAAAACGAAAAAACGAAACTGCCGCGTGTACACCTTCGGGTCCCCGGACACTCGAGCTCGATGCGACGATCGTTTTTCAGCGTGCAGAAATCATGATTTCTTGCGCGGCACTTGACACCGCCACGAATGCACTTGATCCCCGTTCGATAAGAGATAAATAACCGCGCACGTCTACCACTCGAGCAGATTTCGGGATTCCCGGAGCAACACGGGTCTTCCAAGTGAGCGCACTTGCGATACACTGGCTGCCTCGATTCGGAGTCGCACGAATTCGTCCCGAATACTGTATAGAGGCGCTCCAGTCGTCAGCCCCCCAGTCCCAGCTGGTTTCTCGACTGGTGTCGGCCGTACACTCTCGGCTCGGCTATACTCTCTTACCGAGAATAGAACTATTTACAAGTAACGCGCGCTCGGAATGCGCGCGCAGAATCTTGCCCCTCGCTCCTCGGAGCGAGCGCCGCGCGCCAACAGCTCAGCGTAACCCGTCACACAACTTGCTTTCCTCTCCCTTCGCAAACCGAATCCGCTCCGTATTCTTTCCTCGTTTTTCCTTTCCTATTTCATTGCCTGCTCGTCCTCGGCCCTTTCTTCTCGAGATTCTTCTTTTCTTCTTGCACACCCGTGCGGGTTCTATGTTTTTGAACATCTTTTAATATCGGTCCTCTTTGTACGGATACTTGAATTGTTCGGAGCCTAAAGCGCCTTTGGAAGAGTTCAAATAAAATTGTTTTAAAATCAAAAGTACCGCCCTATGTATCTAAGTTTGAGACTCAAACATTTTTGAAATTTAAAAATTTGAAAGTTGCAAATTTGCGAATGCAGGAATTTAAAAGCTTGAGAATTAGAATATCTGGTAATTTAGGAAACTTGAAAATTTTCAAACTTGAATATATTGAAACTTGCGGACTTTTATTAGTAGTTTACATTTAACATTTTTGTATCTTTAGTATCTTTGATGATATCGATTCAAAATAAGTGCACTGCATTATCCGTATAGTTGTAAATTAGTTAGTTGCATTCCGGAGCGCTAGCTTACAGTGATGTCATATACTACAGAGTTCTTCTTTTACCAACTGCGTATCTGTTTTATTATATCATGGTCCACTATATACTTATCATCTTATAATATTTTATGATACCATCTTATGATCATGTACTGAATTACCAACTATGTAATAAAGTGGGAGGTATTGTAATGCCCTCTATATCAGCAGTAGTCAAAAGTAAGTTCTGTTTATCCATATGTAGGTATACTCAAGCGCAAGTTTATCATTTTATGTTTTTAAATTAAAATTCAGACAAAAAACCTAGTTTCACCAAGTATATATTAACAAAATACAGCAAATTAATTAATAAAATCAATATTAATTGAATTAAAAATTTTATACAAAAATGATTAAATCTGTTGGACAAAGGTGACATAAGCCGAAAATGAAGCAGCAGAATGAAAAGACGTAAGAACAAATGCATGTATATTATTAATTAAAAGGCTATAAGGGTTAAAAAATTGATCAGCAGTAAGAGAAAACATTGTACTATCAACAGAGAGTGATTTCATATTGTAAAAGCACAGTTTTAATGAGTTTTTTAATTAAATAAAAGCGTGGTACTAAAAATTGAACAAGTGGCGCCATCTCTCCGGCGAACAGGGTGAACTACACACTTTTGAAACAGTACTTTAATTAGTTCCGTCTTTTGCCACCAGGCGGCGCCACCTATGCGCCCTCTAGCGGTGGAAATCGGAACTAATTAAAGTACAGTTCGAAAAGTGTGTAGTTCACCCTGTTCGCCGGAGAGATGGCGCCACTTGTTCAATTTTTAGTACCACGCTTTTATTTAATTAAAAAACTCATTAAAACTGTGCTTTTACAATATGAAATCACTCTCTGTTGATAGTACAATGTTTTCTCTTACTGCTGATCAATTTTTTAACCCTTATAGCCTTTTAATTAATAATATACATGCATTTGTTCTTACGTCTTTTCATTCTGCTGCTTCATTTTCGGCTTATGTCACCTTTGTCCAACAGATTTAATCATTTTTGTATAAAATGTGCTGTTGTAGTATTGCAGATTTACTATATAACTAAACTTTCCGCAAAATTGTAATGTCCGTAACAGCTGAAAGGAAAAAGGAATCAAAAAGTAGATAGCATGAAGAGAAACTCCAAGTTATCATTTTTCGATAAAGGTACACATTTCCTCAAATAGTAGGTCGAGCAACCTGTACTTTCTCATATGTTTTAAACTACCGTGCTATTCCTCAAAGAACGTTCGCCAAGTTCGATGTGATACTTATCTGTTGCGAACTTCGAATCGCTTTGATATGATCCTCCCACTATATAACACTAAGTGTCACTTATGTTACTCGTCAATTTCCCGTTCGATTGTCGAGAAATTTTTCCGTGATTTCGTGGAGTATGGTTTAGACCACCAGACCGAACAAGTCGTGATCCTTATACGATCCTTATACAGTGAGATTTAAAATGAACATTCGACCGTTCAGTGAGAAAGAGTATAATCAGCTCATTAAGCCTATTATGCTCACCGCGAAAATTATTTCAATCTGGCCATTAGCGGAAAATAGCAGCACAGGAACGATAATGCTCAGAAGATTTCATCTTTTTAGCATGTTTTTCTTGGTAAGTGTTAATCGGGTATGATTCTTCTGCTAAGCAGATTAAGGGACTGCAGTTACAAAATACTTAGCACGAAGGGTGAGTTTTCAGGTGGTAGTAATGTCGTTAGCTGTGACGGCCGATGTGGTTCACAATTTAGACGACTTAGACGAAGCAACCGAATGTGCCCTGATTTGTACAGCCTTCTATCTTTGCGTCGTTCGTTTGACGGTTTACACGATTCATCAGAAGGATATGCTCTACGTGGTGAATACAATGAAAGAGGATTGGATCACTTCCTCTCTCGAGGATAGAGTTGTTTTAGAGGAGAAGACGATGTTCGCGTATCGCCTTGCCAAATACTTCATCAGCACTGTGGCTATTACGATTATATTATTCATGTGTGTGCCGCTCTTGGAAGTGAGTAGATTGATTTATTGAATGCGGTGGAACTCGAAGGCGAACGTAAAATGGTTTCACAATATTTACATCGACGTCACTATTCCATTTCCTACATTTTCAAAATTATTAACTAGTTTCTTCTATAAAGTTAATTTGTTTAGGATCAAGAAATCTAAGCCTGATTTTCAGTAAGGCTGTTCCATAGATAAAGATCTTAGCTACGTACAATATTCGATACAATATAATACAGCTCAATGGAGTTAAAATTATTTGTAGTAATCAACCATTTTCTCCCCAGATCTACGTGCTCGGTGCCAGCGAGAAGATACTCCCCTTCCGCGGTTATTTTTTCATCAATCAAACAATATCACCGATCTTCGAAATCCTGTATCTGTTCAACGTAACGGCGGGTGGTTTCGGTGGAAGCATGATCGCGGGAGCAACTAGTTTCAATCTGATAGTGATAATGCACGGGTCGGCCAAGTTTGCGGTTCTCCGGAAGAGACTGGAGGCTTTGAACGGCGCGGATGCTAGTTCTACCTCTGTTATGGCGGACTGCGTGCTACGACATCGGAGAGCCATAGAGTGAGCTTCCTTTACTTTTCTTGTTCATTTCATTCGTTCATCTTTTTCAATAAAGATTTAGATTAGACAAGTAGTCAGATGAATCAAGCACATTAAGGGTGAGGAAGATTTGTTAGATAGTCTGCTAGCTACTTGTCTGACTACATGATTACTTATCGTGCTACTTAGAATAATTACATCCTCACTTTGCTACTTGTTTGACCACTTACTACTTGTCTGACCATCTGGCAGCTTGCCCTGCTACTTGGTTGACTATGTACTTGTCTGGCCACTTAGGTAAAGACATGTCTTGCCTTGCTACATCTCATGTACCTCCTTCCACTTTGTGTTCTTCATCTTCTTTTAAAGAAGATCATCATCTCTTAACGAAATCATTTCATATCTTTCCAGATACGCGGACGCACTCGAGAGGATCATAAACGTACTGGCCTTAGGACAATTCATGATTAGCACAGGCCTGATCTGCTTCGCAGGATTTCAGATCACATCGGTGCGTTCAATGGACATTCATTCACAAGAGAATAATAAAAATCTTTGCAGATGATGCAGGACAAGGGACGACTGATGAAATATTCGACCTTCCTGAACTCCGCCATTCTCGAGCTGTTCATGTTCAGCTTCAGTGGGAACGGATTGATCGATGAGGTAGAAAGCAATCCATAATTTGTGAGCCTAATGATCATTGTTGATTGCCGTAGAGCGAAGCAGTAGGTGAATCAGCATACAGCAGCGGATGGATCGGAAGTCGACTCAGTAAGAGTCTTCAGATCATGATGATGCGTTCGCAGACACCCAGCAAGATAACGGCGGCGAAATTCTATAGCATGTCCTTGCAGAGCTTTTCATCGGTAAGTACGCTTACGAATGTTTTAGTGATACTCCTTTTGAGTTGTCTATACGTTACACAGGTTCTCAGTACGTCATTCTCGTATTTCACGGTCCTTAAAGCTACCAAAGACGACTAATGGTGTGGATGATGAACAGAGATGTACGCGGCATGCTTTATGATCGTAGCCGGAGTCACCTCGCGATGACTCAACTTACATAGAATATACTTATAGTCGTTCCACTAGCCTAAAAATATACGTGTACATACGACATGCTAGTTGTCACTCGTTCGTTAATTTTAGGATCGATCACAGGACGTAAGTAAGGACTTCTCGCAACGAGGTAACAAGCTTTCAAGATAAACGTGATTGATTTAACATTCGAAGGTTCACTCGATTCTGAAGTACTAGCTAGAATAATTACGATAGACTCATTGTCACGAGCGTGGTTGCAGAAGTGGTACATTCTTGAAATTGTATTATAAATTACTGGAACGACGCTTGATCACACGATGCACATCGATTTAATGAGGGACGATACAATTGTAATATTTCGATGACCATAAGCTTCGTGAAATTAACAATCTTCCATTGTATTCGAGTAGTTGCATTAATGGCGAGCTGTAAAATTACAAATTTCCAAATTGCAATTCATAATATGCAAATGACGAACGCATGAATAGCCATCAGGCTGTTAATTTGATTTTGCGGAGAATATTCGGAGTAATTAGAACAGTTCATATCAAAACAAATATTCAACTACATTACACTAACAGCGTGTAATATTACTCTTCATTAGAGATTCCTGTATATACGCTAATAGTCTAAACTCTAAATGAAATCGCCCTGGGGTCTAAGCCAAGTAAGCACCCTCACCAAATACCTCCTTTACGTTAACAGAAATGTTTCACTCATAATTCCTTTCACATTTTTTTTACTCTTCGACCACGAAGAGTAAATTGTCCAGATCTCGATTTTCTATTTTATAAGATCGCTATTCTATTTTTCACTCTTCGACCATCGCTTGAATCTTAATCGTAGTAAGGATAAATTGTCCAGATCTCTATTTTATAAGATCGCCCGGCCACTCGGTGGATTCGGGCATAAGTTTAAGCAAAATGTAACGAGTTCGGCCGAGTTCTCTCTGGGTGGGGTAAAGCACGAGCGAATGGTCTTTGGGAGAGACTCGAGGGTATTTTCATCGCAACAGTAGAACACGTGCACCCGGCCAGTGCACGCACTACGGCCAGCTCTTCTCCATTTCTAAGATCCGTGCTGTTCGTGTTCGGTGTTCATCGTATCGTGCAAAATGTAACTCGACGGATGTTCCAGCTTCCTTCGTTGTTCCTGAGACATGAAATAAGAACAACTTGCGATACGATGGCAGCCAGCTGATTATTGTCGTCCACGGGATGGCAATATGGCGAACATCAAGGTGGCAGTACGAGTAAGACCAATTTCTGCCAGGTGAGTATCATGTAATATAAGCACTTTCAATTAGATAGTTTTAATTCAAGAATTTATGAAGAGGGCTTAAAAAGAGGGTGTAGTTTTTTCCATTTCCCTAAATGGAACATGTACTAAAATTAAGTTACTTACAGTACTTCAATACTATTTAATTTAAAGAGTTTCAAGAGCAAATCCCTACCAAATAAAAATCTCTCTTTAATGTACCAAATCTCATTAATTTCCACCCAGTTACAAATGATTAATTAATGTAAGCTGATTGCTTTTGATTCGATAACCAATCGAGAAGTTTAGACTCCGATGTAACTCTAATAGCGTTCCGCAAAGCAATTCCCACCGGAAATGTTTGCAAATCGATGGAACTAATGAAAACGTAAATTTCAGCCGAGTTGTTTTGTCGTTAAACCCGGTAAGTCTGAATGTATTTTAGGAAGCAGAAATCGAGTAAGAAACGCGGAGCTTCTTTGTACAAGTACTTTGTTAAGGTCAAGGTTATTTTGCTAACTCACCGCAATTTCATTTTTGCGAAACACGGTGTTTCCACCATTTTACGAGGACGGTGTCTGTACATACACGATCTCCGAGATAATTATTTCGAGCCGAGAAAGGAACGAGGACAGAAATCTGGAAGTAGATTTATAGGGGTGCGCCTTTGAGCCGCCACTTATGAACTCGTTTCTATACTTAGAAGATGAGGCCGGAACGCCGTGAAAGTAAGACAAACTAACAATTACTCGTGGAAGCAAACGCAATAAGCTCCACGATGGAAATTAAGGCCGCTGGTAATATTGAATGTTGGGAAATTGGTTTCGGTAATGTTGGCTCACGAATTTTGTTTACGTATTTCCTGTAATTTCTGCGAGATGGTACCAGTCAGGAATTATGTAATTTAGGTGTTTTTAACACTGAACCTACCACCATATACGGTGTACTTAATTTGAAATTAAAAATGAAGTTAAAGAATAAGTATACAAACGATGAAACATAAATTAGCACACACATTTATTCTTTATCTTCATGAAAATCAATGCTGATTTGAAGGAATGTACTTTGACAAAATGTGTATATTATAATAAGAAACTTGTGGAGCGGTTATTTGACCGGTTTGGTAGTGTTAATACGTCAGACATGCTATTTGAGTGTTTATTATTTATGGATCATGTACGATAATTTTTTGATTCGCTTGCCAATAAATGTTTTCCGTAAATCATTGGTAAAATATTCAGAAAGTAAAGATGAAATAGTAGGAAAAGAAACAAGGGATTATTATTTACGAATCATGATGTACGATAATTTTTTGATTCGCTTGCCAATAAATGTTTTCCGTAAATCATTGGTAAAATATTCAGAAAGTAAAGATGAAATAGTAGGAAAAGAAACAAGAGAACAGGAAAAATGATTCGCAAACAAGGTGTCAAGAAGCCAGCAAAATTTCAAAGAAACCTTCGCGGCTGACCGGAAAGCATACATCGAAGCACACGATCGCAAACGTTCTCCGTCATGAAATCCATCCAGAAAAGAGAAAAATCAACAGCGAGCGTGCCAAGTTTCAACTTCGAAAGAAACCCAGCCTCGCCAGACTAAAATAAAACCCAATAAAATCCCATAAAGCTGCCGCTGTTTGGTCGCTCGACGTGTCTCGATCCTCGACATACGGGGTCGACGAGTTTATTTAAAGCAGCGAATATATCCCTACGAAGCCCTTGCCGATCCGGGGGATGTTTCGGCGATAAAGGCAAGGTTATCGTACAATATGCTTTTTAATAGGAAAACTTATTCAACTAAACCTTGGCCAAATGAACAGCGACACACCCACGTGTTAATATACTCGATCATCTAGCAATATGATAGGGATCTAGACCACTTGTTTTACCAACGTAATCCTCGCTAAACTCTATGACTAATCTACTATCGCCATAAAACTTCGCTAGTTACCCTGGGCTTAAAGGATCAACCGATCGGAGAAATGACGGCGAATATAACCAGGCTCGATGACACACGACTGGACGGTTTAACGACTCCAACAGGAGCAACGGGAGCAGCATCCGTTCTAGAATAACGCTCTCGACTGCGAGGGAAAAGGACGAGGAAGATAATAGCACGGTTGCTATTCGCGTAACCGTAGGCCTCGATTCATTCAGTCGCGGTTTTCTTGGGTTCGACGATGTTTCGAGGAAGCATTCCCTCGAGAATGCTTCATTCAGAACTTTCTACCTCGAGAGTTCTCGCTGGCTAGATCCCTGTCACCCGCTTCCTGCCACTCGATGATTGATGACCCGATCGATGGAAACCACGGGACACTATGAATCGACGGTATCGTGTACTCTCCATTGTAAATATCGGTTGCATCGCTCGCTGCTACGGATTACTTGAAATTGTTTGTGGAGGGAAGATTTGTAGATGGCTGTTTGCGGATACGAAGGGTCAATTTGATCGTTCTCAAGATTACTGTAAATAGACCGGGGAAAAGGGGCAAACATCCTGGCTTAAGATGTTTAATTGTGGCATTCGTTGGTAAATGTACTCTGTTAATAACATCCCTGTCTCGTTATGGATTAACACTGATTTCTGACACTAATAAGGTCTACGTGTCTAACTATATACACCTAAACAAAATTTATTTCTTTCATCACGTTTTGTTGAGGGAAGAAACTTAGTCCTTGTTAACCACATAGTTTTGATGGGACCCTACTATATTCTTGTCTATACCTATTTTAAAAGATTACTGTAAATAGAACGGGGAAAAGGGGCAAACATCCAGGCTTGAGATGTTTAATTGTGGTCTACGTTGGTAAATGTACTCTGTTAATAACATCCCTGTCTCGTTATGGATTAACACTGATTTCTGACACTAATAAGGTCTACGTGTCTAACTATATACACCTAAACAAAATTTATTTCTTTCATCACGTTTTGTCGAGGGAAGAAACTTAGTCCTTGTTACCCACATAGTTTCGATGGAACCCTCAGTCTATTATCTTCTTTACCTTTAATCTTCTTTATCTTCTCTATTTTAAAAAATTTGAGAAGACATTTCCTCCCCACGTTAAAAAGTAAAATCCTACTTTAAACGTTCGAAATCATTAGCGCTTTGGCGCACTCCGTTGACCCAAAACGATCCATTCGTTCCACAAAAACTTGGATAAGGTGGCACGAAATCGTGCCGATTACAGGGAACAGGGACGATGATAAGATCACGCGAGGACGAGGTTAAAGCACCTGAGCTGCGCCCGTATGCGTTACACGCACGCGAGAACACGTGTGTAACCGTGCTCTTAGCTGTCCCGTCACGCCAAATGTTGTGCCACACGACACAGCGACCCGAAAACTCGTTCGACCGTGATTTGTTTTTTACGCAGACCGAAATTCTGGAGCCCGTCACCGACTGGTTCTCCTAGCTTTTCGCGCCTTTTAGCCTGAGAAAGAAAATCCTAAACTTTGCCATTGATAATTTGCCTCTTGAACCGCAGTTCTCGTTACACTTTAATTGAAGCGGCGTTATATCATCGCGTGTGCGTGTCCAGTCGAAATACCGAATTCTATTAACCCATTCGTGATAATACTGCTATGTTTTTAACGGAATTTCCATCGAACGAGTAAAGCATCGTTTGATAGGTTAATTCGTTGGCGATCCACGTTGATAAAACAATTAGTCCACAATTTAAATAAATCGATTCGACAAGATTGGAAACATAGTCGAAAAATCTAGAGAGAATTCCAAACGCACAAACAATGTAATGTATTCACCGGTGAATCGATTTGTTCATCTACGTTGCGTGAAAAAAAGCTTTTTTACAAAACCAGGGAAAAACTACTATACAGTCCGTTTGACGAAAAAGGTGGAAAACGAAACTGTCGTTCCGAAAGCTCGCCAACGAGACTGTCAAGTCTACTCTGTTCTCTTTCCGTCTACGGTGACAGACCGTTTCAAGCGTATTCGACCGTGTATCTTTTAGAATCTCCATAATACTCGTTAATCAAGTTTCGTTTTATTTCCTCCGCACGATTTAGGGAGCTGAATTTAACAGGCTCGGAGGTGGTCGTCCGCACGGACGTCAACGGAATTTCACTGACGAACCTGAAGGTGTCTTCCAGCAAGGCCGGGGACAGTCGAGAACGGACCAAGAGATATGGTTTCGATTACTGCTTCGACTCGTCCGATCCGGAGGCTGAACAGTTCGCGGACCAAACGAGGATCTACGAGACTATCGGTCAGTCGGTTCTGGAGGCGCTTTTCTCGGGGTATAATTCTTGTCTGGTGGCGTACGGGCAGAGTGCGTCAGGGAAGACCTACACGATGATGGGGACTAAGGTACTTTTACCTTTTTTATTTCTAAAATTATTCAGCGGCTGCTGAGATCAGAAAAATGGCGTCCGGTGGCAGCAGACAGTATAGGTGGACTCTGAGCAAAGCCCTAACCTTCACCCGCCGTCCATCCAGTGCCTAACGCCTAATATCCCACATTCGGACCACCCGTTCTCCAAACCACCATACCCCAGTGGTGTTCATGACATCAAAAAAATTAAAAAAGAGGAGATAACATAGTATCTAACTTGTTAAAATTAAACTTAGGAGATAACATAGTATCTAACTTGTTAAAATTAAACTTCACCCTATTCCTTCGAAGTCCATCTTGATCGTCGTTAACATCGCAACAGTTTAATCGACTCCCGATTCCACTCTAACGTCTGGAAACAGTTTCCCGTCGCGCAGAAAATTGAAACTGTTTTTGTCGAACGACGTTTAATTAAATTGCCCTGTGGCGTCGTAGCCAATCGCGGTCATTCGACGCTATATATTAGAGGGGCAGCGTGGATTTTTAAAAACGGCACGCATGGCGGTTATACATGTATCGAGCACGTTCCGCTTTCAATTACGAAAGCGAAATTGTCCCATCGCCGCGGGATATTCCATTGATAGTTAACGATACGTAATATTCGCAGTTCCGCTTTTCTGTGATTGTTTGGCTGATGACAACTACTTTGTTCGCAGGAGGAGCCGGGGCTGACACCGCGACTCTGTCGGGGACTCTTCTCGAGGATCGAGGAGTCTAAGAACAAAAATTACTGCGTTTCGGTTAGGTAATCTTCTTAATTTTTAAGTTTCTTCTTTAACCCCCATGACTTATTTGTCAGGTGCGTCAAATACAGCTATAATATTAAAACAGACAACAAAATTTGAATTGTTATGTCAATATGTTATTATGCAATCGTTGACTATGCATATTATAATTGCACTTGAACTCCAAATTGAAGCGTATTAAAAATTCGAGTAAAATTGATCACGGCCGAAGTACGTGTGTGTCAGACTCGTCAAAATAGTGCAAGGGGTTAATTTTTAAGACATGTCTGTGTTTATTGATCGTGATATGCTTTAATAAGAATTAAAATAAGAGGGCGTTTTTATGAACTTTAATAACTACTGATCAACTTATCGTTTTCGAGGTTCATGACAAAATTTTAACCAATTTTTACTTTCATGCTCATCTCGTAAGGTTTCCCTAAACGGAGCATTACTTACACATGTACAACATTTTCCCGCATAACGGCTTAGAATTATTAATCGGGTAAGCGGATCAATGGTTCGAAGTTGACCCCGTTTCCCCAATAATTAATTATCCTCTCTGACGTAATCGGCAACGTTAATCGAGATTCATCGACACTCCGCGATTAAGAGGTTCATCGATGCTGTCATCTCAAATGTCTCCCCCATTCTAATTACACCCTGTATCACCAAGGTGAATTTTATTCGAAGCAAGTGAAACGTAGATGCAGGCACAGCGATAACGCGTTCGAATTGATAACTGTGGGAAACTTAACATTCGTGGCGTCTTTGGTAGACGCGAAACGGCCGTATCGACGAACTTCCACCAATAAAGGAGAACCGTATTGACGCCTGTCGGTCAAGGTTCGGTTATCGGGCCAATTTCACCCATCATTTTCGACAGTCTTTGTCTCGATATGTCTACGCGTTTTGCTCGTAACCTCTTTGCAGTTTCGTTCGCATTCTGGTGAGGTCGTAGGGCTTCGAGAAACCCTGCACACTATGAACTGTTTTGTCGAATCGGTGTTAGGGCGATGACTAGTTTATCGTCCTCGTTGTCACAATTCCCTTTTCTACGGAGATTAACTTGCAAAATTGATTATTGGAGACAAGATCGATTCGAGGCACAAATCTGGGTATCGGCAGGTATTAGACAAGTGACGTGCTTGATAATTTCCTACTGGGTTCTAGAGTACAGCTTTTCTGAGCAGAGTTAAATCGGTACTTTGTTATGCATTGAATTAGTGTAGATCACTTCGAGTTGTAACGTGTCAAATTTCAACGTGTTAGTTCTATGTACTCCGTTGTCGCGTATCGAATTACATGTTAGATCGTTTCGAGTTCTATCGCGTGACAAATCAGTGTTGTATTTACGGTGTTACGCATCGAATTGCCACTCGTTAAATGCGTGGAACACGCATCGAATTACGAGTTAGATCGCTTCGCAACCTGTCAAGTCGCTACATATCGTATTACAACGCATCGAATTTCCACGCGTTAGATCCCTTCGAGCTGTATCTCAACGCGTGAAATCGCTACGTGTGCTATATCTCAACGCGTGAAATCGCCACGCGTCCTGTATCTCAATGCGTGAAATCGCCATATGTTCTATATCTCAACGCGTGAAATCGCCACGCGTCCTATATCTCAACGCGTGAAATCGCCACGCGTGAAATCACCATGCGTCCTATATCTCAACGCGTGAAATCGCCACGCGTGAAATCACCATGCGTCCTATATCTCAACGCGTGAAATCGCCACGCGTGAAATCACCATGCGTCCTATATCTCAACGCGTGAAATCGCCACGCGTGAAATCACCATGCGTCCTATATCTCAACGCGTGAAATCGCCACGCGTGAAATCACCATGCGTCCTATATCTCAACGCGTGAAATCGCCACGCGTGAAATCACCATGCGTCCTATATCTCAACGCGTGAAATCGCCACGCGTGAAATCACCATGCGTCCTATATCTCAACGCGTGAAATCGCCACGCGTGAAATCACCATGCGTCCTATATCTCAACGCGTGAAATCGCCACGCGTGAAATCACCATGCGTCCTATATCTCAACGCGTGAAATCGCCACGCGTTCTATATCTCAACGCGTGAAATCGCCACGCGTCCTGTATCTCAACGCGTGAAATCGCCACGCGTGAAATCACCATGCGTCCTATATCTCAATGCGTGAAATCGCCACGCGTGAATTCGCCACGCGTTCTACATCTCAACGCGTGAATTCGCCACGCGTCCTACATCTCAACGCGTGAAATCGCCACACCTCCTATATCTCAACCGCGTGAAATCGCCACGCGTTCTACATCTCAACGCGCAAAATCGCCACGCGTCCTATATCTGCAACTGTATTATGCGTGGTACTATCCCGCGTGAAAGCTTCCTCGAAGAACCGGAAGTGCTACAAAACACGATTACCCAGGTCAGCAGGGTGCATAGGTGATGAAATTGAGAACGCGAAGAAAAATAATGTGTTGGTGTGGTGGGAGGATAGACATGGAAGTCGAGCTTAGGAGTCGCGAGTTTGCAAGCGCTGTTGGCCTGAATGTGTCTTGTAAGCTCAGTGCCCCGTGACTCGCAATCCTAGGCGGACGCAAGCTCGCTTTACCTGGGTAAGAATTTCCTTCACGGCACCTAACTTCGCCAAGTTTATTCGCACTTTAACACCATCGTTTCATCGCTTCGTTAAGCCACTTACCAACTGGGATATCTTCTCGACATTAACATTCTTTTTATCGTTGATTAATCGTTTCTTAATACTTTTATAATCTTGTAGATTACTTCCCGTTTTTTACTCGTAAGATTATCAGATGGTGCGAAAAATTCGTGTGTACTGCCATTTTATATCGTTTACATTTTCACGGCTTTGGATATCTTTAAAAGCATTCGAAGCTGGATTACGTTTTCCAAACAGCATGTCCATGAATTTCTCGGGAGTCCTTTTTTTGATACAAAAGGATATACGTTTAAATCCTTCGGTTTACACTGCGGAAAAAATACGCTTTCAAAACAACGGAACTTTTTATTCAAACTTCATACATATTGATGCAAGAATTTCCCTCGCAACCACCCTTTAATCTTCGATTCGCACTTCTCCTCGTAAACACGGTTTTTATTCCTGTATTAAACGTTCACTGGATTGCCTTGAGCTCGGTGTAAAACTAAAAAACGAAAGAATGCACCGTGCTGGAGGAGCACTCGTAAAAATTGTATTTACCGTTTTCGTCTGAAATATCGATTCCCGTTCCCTCTTTCTCCTCGGTTTCATCGATGAACGAAGGGAAAACGCGTTATTTTCCGCGCAAATTTTATCACTTTTCTTGCGAAAATCGCCGTTACGGTTCACATTATACCTCGCTCTAAATTACACACGTGACATTACCACGCTTTGCATCAACAGTCTTCGGCAAATTTTCACGAAAGGGAATTTTGTATATCGATCTGCTACGATTTTCCATATACACCAAGAGTAAGAAAGACACCTCAACTGTCATTCGAGGAAATTGTCTAGCGACGAGGACGTCGTGCTCGAACACGCTTGCATTCGTAACACCGTCACTTTGTCGGTGGAAAAGCTGATCTCGAGGAATAAAATTTAGGTTATGTTTTATTTATTTGCGCGAACGCGAGGAATTTGGCTTGATATATTGCGAGATAACCGAATCGGTCAGATCGAACGAGCTGGTTTCTTTGGACTGGTTCCTCGTCACTCGTCGACGTAAAATCGTTAAGTGGGTCGGCTAGGAAACGAAAAGCGAGCGAACGAAAATCGGGGAATAATTTCTTCCCCTCTGAACTTGATTTTCTGGGTATTGTTGCAATTTTCTGCTGTATATTCTCTGTTCGTTTTATCAAACACCATATATCTGCTTTAACCGATATATTTTCTACAAACAATTCTCACTCATGTGCCCAGCAAACATTTCTCGACGAAAAGTCAACCGATCGAGGATCAACGTATCCCCACAAGAATAACGAGAAAGGAAAATTTGATGTTTCCCGATCGTTCACGAAGAAACAGCATTTTTATCGTCGGTGGAAGAGCGTTTCCAGGTGTTCATCATCCGTAACTGTATCGTGAATCATCCTTTGTTCCATATTCGCCGTTAAAAAAAAAGCCGAGGAACGACAGATTTACGCATGTCCAACAGAAACATTCGCAGCGCTGGAATACTATAAATTCGCGTTTATACGATCACCGGCAGTTATTAAAAGTGCCAGGGCAATTCGTTGTTCGGCCAGGGAACAAATGTGGCTCCTGTCGTGGCTGCATCGTCTGCTTCGAATGCAAAGCCACCTACCGCGTTGCCATCGTCATTCACGTTTCCTCCTGCAACCGCCAACAAATTTGGACGGTGAAATTTTTCAGAAATTTCCCGCCCATTCTCGTTCGTCCTGTTTACGCGGCGGCCATTAATGCCACCCCCTAGCCCGAAAATATTTCGTGTAACCTTCAGATTAAAACGTATCCGAAAGCCTGCTGTTTGCTCGCGATAATAATTCCTGCTAATGGACCAGGCTCGTTATATTCTAGCTGAAAAATCCTTTCGATCCGCAAAAACCTACTTTTCTGACATTTTTACGACTACAAATTTATGTTTCGCTCCGTGAAAAAATCCAACGAAATTATCTTTCTCTGTGCCGGAGTTGCCGGACAATTCTGTCGGGAATTTTCGACGGGGTCGTTTAACTCGTTGGAATTATTGTAATCGATTACGTATTGTGATCCGATCGTTTAGAGTGTCGCGTGTTATACACTGCTCGTTGTAATTTGTTACATTGCACTGCTATATTTTTACATATGTACTATTTTTTACAAACGCAGATTTCTGCACTTTCAAATTTTTATACTCTTGTATCTTGTTAGATTCCGATTAATCAGATTTACAGTAAGCACTTAGGATCTAGAATCACGCTGCGATTCAACTTTTGTCTAAACTCAAGTATATCGATGATAATGTTAAAAGGTATTATGAAGAGCTTCGGAGGTTCTTTTAAGGATTCGGTCTTGGAGGTAGTGGA